TTGGTAAATTATATACAGTAATTCAGGGAAGCTGGGAAGCCTTTAGTTTACTGTAGGCAACCTTCTCCAAATCCCAAAGATTTTAGATCTTCATTTGGGATGCCTTCCTGTGATGGAAACATCAGTTTTGGAACTGTTTCTGTTTGCAGAAGTTTTCCATTAAAATGCTTAACGCCTTTTCCTAATTACCACTCTTTAGCTGTAAAATGCTTTTATAAGTTATTATTTTGATCCTCATAATAGTCTCATAAGTATTAACACCTTCATTTTGGAAGTGAGAGTTTAGTGACTCACCATAATGAATAATTTAGTAGGAAGTAACAGGTTTGGAATTTGGGGGCTTGAGGATTGGGTTGCTGGGGAAAGAAAGGAAAGAAGTTGGTGAGAGGGAGGAGAGAACATTATTTTTGCCTACTATTTTGCCTGGGTGTTGTTTGGTACTAGCAAAACTATCTGATAGGTTGACTCCAGGTATAGAAAAAACCATTCATATATTCACTGTCCATTTTTCTTATGCCAGAGTCTAAACTCAGGAAGACTTATAGGAGATTTGAGTCTCCATTTTGTGATATATGTAGAAGGTAGTAGATTTAACACAGTGGGCCATGTTCTTTTCTTCCTAAAGGTTCATCTTAAATGGTTGCTGCTCATAATAGGAAGGAAATGGTTGTTGGTCAAGCCGTTGGCTTTTTTTTGTGGGTGTGTGTGGTATGCGGGCCTCTCACTGTTGTGGCCTCTCCCGTTGCGGAGCACAGGCTCCGGATGCGCAGGCTCAGCGGCCATGGCTCACGGGCCCAGCCGCTCCGCGGCATGTGGGATCTTCCCGGACCGGGGCAGGAACCCGTGTCCCCTGCATTGGCAGGCGGACTCTCAACCACTGCGCCACCAGGGAAGCCCCAAGCCGTTGGCTTTTAGGAACCTCCTTCTCCAGCTTAGACTCTGGACAAGGTGTGTAGTGTTTTATCCATTGGGGAAACATTGCATTAATTGGGTCTCATGCCCCTATTTCTGAAAGGAATGACAGGCAGGGGATGGGTTGCGTTTTATCTAGTCGTTAGTGTGTTTATGATCCTATGCTTCTCTCAGTTCTCTGGTATAATCTCTAAAACAGGAGAGAGATTTCCTCCCCTGACCCTTCTTAGCACTAATACACATGTGTTTCTACCTTGTGGAGAAAATTTACTTCTAAAGTTATATAGCAGTTTTTCTTTCTTTCTTTTTTTTTTTTTTGTAAACTACTTTTATCGCTTGCTTCATAATTTTTCTTTTCCAGAAATAAAATAGATTTTCATGTTAGAGAAGCAAGATCATTTTAAAAAATAATTGATTAATTTATTTATTTTTGGCTACGTTGGGTCTTCATTGCTGCACACGGGCTTTCTCTAGTTGCAGTAAGCGGGGGCTACTCTTTGTTGCAGTGCGTGGGCTTCTTACTGCAGTGGCTTCTCTTGTTGTGGAGCACAGGCTCTAGGCACTCAGGTTTCAGTAGTTGTGGCACACGGGCTCAGTAGTACTGGCTCGTGGGCTCTAGAGCGCAGGCTCAGTAGTTGTGATGCACGGGCTTAGTTGCTCTGCGACATGTGGGATCTTCCCGGACCAGGGCTCGAACCCGTGTCCCCTACATTGGCAGGCGGATTCTTAACCACTGCTCCACCAGCGAAGCCCGAGAAGCAAGATCTTTAAAACAAACAAACAAACAAAAATATATATATATATATGTGTGTGTGTGTGTGTATATATATATATATATATATATATATATATTTTAGGAAAATTTTTTAAAATTCAGGTACAGTCAGCATACAACATTATATTAGTTTCAGGCATACAACATAATGTTTTGATATTTGTATATATTGCAAAATGATTACCACAATAAGTCTACTTAACATCACTCACCATACATAGTTACATAATTCTTTTCTTCTTGTGTTGAGAACTTTTTAAGATTTACTCTTTTAGCAACTTTCAAATATGCAATACAGTATTATTAACTGACGTTGCCATGCTGTACATTATATCCCCATGACTTACTTAGTTTATAACCGGAAGTTTGTAACTTCTGACCACCTTCATCCAGTTTGCTTACTCCCCCCGCTGTCTCTGGCAACCATTTGTTCTCTGTATCTATGAGCTTGGTTTCTGGTTTCGATTTTGTTTTTGTTTTTGTTTTAATTTTTGGCCATGCTGCGTGGCATGCGGGGACTTAGCTCCCTGACCGGGGATTGAACCCACGCCCCCTACAGTGGAAGCATGGAGTCTTAACCACTGGACCGCCAGGGAAGTCCCTTCTTTTTTTTCCTTTTCTTTTTTAGATTCCACGTATAAGTGATACCATACAGTATTTGTCTTTCTCTGACTTCTTTCACTTAGCATAATGCCCTCAAGTTCCATTCATGTTGTCACAGATGGCAAGATTTCATTCTTTTTTATGGATGAATAATATTCCTTTGTATATATATGCCACAATTTCTTTATCCATTCATCTGTAAATGGACGCTTTAGTTTATTTCCTTACCTTGACTATTGTAAATAATGCTGCAGTGAACATGGGGGTGCATATATCCTTTTGAATTACTGTTTTTGTTTTCTTTGGATAGTTACCCAGAAGTGGAATGCCTGAATCATATCGTACTTCTATTTTCAATTTTTTGATGATCCTTCATACTGTTTTCCATAGTGGCTGCACCAATTAACATTCCCACCTATAGTACACAGTGGTTTCCTTTTCTCCACATCCTCCTCAATATTTATTTCTTGACTTTTTAATAATAGCCATTCTAACAGGTGTGAGGTGGTAATCTCATTGTGGTTTTTATTTGCATTTCCCTGCTGATTAGTGATGTTGAGCATCTTTTATGTACCTGTTGGCCATCTGTATGTATTCTTCGGAAAAATGCCCGTTTTTAAATTAGATTGTTTGTTTGTTTTGTTCTGGAGTTGTATGAATTTATATATTTTGGATATTAACCCCTTATCAGCTACATGATTTGCAGATATTTTCTCCCATTCAGTAGGTTGCATTTTGTTGATGATTTTCTTTGCTGCACAGCAGCTTTTTAGTTTGATGTAGTCCCACTTGTTTATTTTTGCCTTTGTTGTCTTAGCTTTTGGTGCTAAATCCAAAAAGTCATTGCCAAGACCAATGTCAAGGAGCTTACTGCCTGTGCTTTCTTCTAGGAATTTTATGGTTTCAGGTCTTACATCATCAAGTCTTTAATCCATTTTGAGTTAATTTTTGTGTATGGTGTATATAGTGGTCTAGTTTCATTCTTTTGCATGTGGCTGTCCAGTTTTCCCAACACCATTTATTGAGGAGACTGTTCTTTCCCATTGTGTATTCTTGGCTCCTTTATCATAAATTAATTGACCATATATGTGTGGATTTATATCTGGGCTCTCTATTCTGTTCCATTGATCTCTGCATCTGTTTTAGGCCAACACCATACTGTTTTGATTACTATAGCTTTGTAATGTAGTTTGAAACCAGGGAGTGTGATGCCTCCAGCTTTGTTCTTCTTTCTCAGGATTGCTTTGACTATTCTGGATCTTTTGTGATTCCATACAAATTTTGGGATTGTTCTATTTCTGTGAAATAGGCAGTTGGAATTTTGATGAGAATTGCATTGAACCTGTAGTTTGCTTTGGGTAGTATGGACATTTTAGCAATATTAATTCTTCCAATGCATGAACATTTATGTGTGTCTTCTTCAGTTTCTTTCATCAGTGTCTTATAGTTTCCACTGTACAGGTCTTTTGCCTCCTTGGTTAAATTTATTCCTAAGTTTATCTTTTTTGTTGCAATTATAATAAATAGGATTGTTTTCTTAATTTCTCTTTTAATAGTTTGTTATTAGTGTATAGAAACATAACAGATTCCTGTATGTTGATTTTGTATCCTGCAACTTTACTGAATTCATTTATTCTAACAGTTTTTTGGTGGAGTCTTCAGGGATTTCTATAAGTAATACCATGTCATCTGCAAATAGTGACAGTTTTACTTTTTCCTTTCCCATTTGGATGGCTAAATTTTATTCCTTTTCTTGCCTAATTGCCCTGGCTAGGACTTCCAATACTATGTTGAATAAAAGAGGCAAGAGTGGGCACCGTTGTCTTATTCCAGATCTTAGAGAAGCTTTTGGTTTTTCACTGTGGAGTATGATGTTAGCTCTGGGCTTATCATTTATGGCCTTTATTATGTTGAGGTATGTTTCCTCTATACCCACTTTGTTTAGAGTTTTGATCATAGATGTTGAATTTTGTCAATTGCTTTTTCTGCATCTATTGAGATGTTCATATTATAGGAAAATTTACTTTCAAATACTCAGAATATTATTTTTGAGAGCCAAGGAGATCAGTTATATGGTGTGTATTGGTAGGAAACACTTGAAATAGTTTATGTAAACAAATGAATTTGCAGTATTTGACTTAGATAAAAGAGCATTTTTATTTTATTTTATTTTTTTAAAATTTATTTTAATTAATTAATTTATTTGGGCTGCGTTGGGTCTTTGTTGCTTGCTGTGTGCGGGCTTTCTCTAGTTGTGATGAGTGGGAGCTACTCTTCATTGCGGTGCACTGGCTTCTCATTGTGGTGGCTTCTCTTGTTGCGGAGCACGGACTCTAGGCACACGGGCTTCAGTAGGTGTGGCACGTGGGCTCAGTAGTTGAGGCTCGTGGGCTCTAGAGCACAGGCTCAGTAGTTGTGGCGCACAGGGTTAGTTGCTCCATGGCATGTGGGATCTTCCCGAACCAGGGCTCGAACCTGTGTCCCCTGAATTGGCAGGCAGATTCTTAACCACTGTGCCACCTGGGAAGCCCAAGAGCATTTTTAACAAGTCACATGCTTCTCGGACTTATTTGCTCTAATGCAAGAGTTTGGGGGAGGGTTTATGAGAAGAAAAGAGATATTATTCTCTTCATCCTTTAAAATCATTGACCTTGGAATAGATACATTTCTCAAATTTACTTACGGAAATCTTTTGTATATCTCTTCCTAGGTGTTCCAGTTACTAACTGATATGAAAGAGCAGCGTAAAGAAAGTGGAAAGAATAAACACAGTTCCGGGCAACAGAACTTGAATACTATCACGTATGAAGTAAGCCTAGGTTTTTGGAAGTTCTACCCAAACTGCCATTGAAGGGGGTTGGTTTATCTTGCTGATGACTGGCCACTGAATCATGACTACCTATTATCTGATTTGAGTAGGTTTACTGTAACCCAGTTTTTATCCTGTTTATAGAAGTGGAAAGAGTTTGGCCAATTGCGAATGTCAACCAATTGCAAAGTCAGAGGAGGGAATAATTAAAAGTCTGCCATCACTTCTAATACCAATTGCAAGTCGGGGAGCCCCACGACCACCCTCAGGTTCAATAATTCACTGGAAGTACTCACGGAACTTGCTAAAAGCTATAATGTTCACTGGTACAGGTTATTACAAGGAAAAGATACAGATTAAATTTGGCCAAGGGAAGAAGCAAATGGGGCAGGTGCCAGGAGAAATACCAAATGCAGAGCTTCCACTGTTCTCTAATGTGGAGTCAGAGCACATTTCTCTTGAAATCAGTGTGTGTTAATACACACAGAATATTGCCAGCCAAGGAAGCTCAGCCAAGCTTTGGTGTCCAGAGTTTTTACTGGGGCTCCATTACCTAGGCATGATTGAATGATTGATTGCCTGTGTAGTTCATGTTAGCCTCCAGGTCTACTGATACTGCATGACCCAAAGCCCCTACTCTAAATCTCATTGTTAAGACCATCCAGTAGGACATAAGGCCCCCAGACAAAGATACTCCTATTAGATATAATGTTCCAGGAGTATGGAGATTACCTCCCAAAAGCTGAGGGCAAAGTCCAGACTCTCCGTTTTAGCGAAGCCAAACTCTTTATTACAGAGAAAGTGATACTTTTTATGGTAGAAAACTTAGAAAGTACAAAAAAGCATAAAGAAGAAATCAAAAGTAATTCATAATCTTAATATCTAGTTGATAGTTTGTTGCATTCTCTCCCAATCTTATGCTTAAGCTGTTGTATTTGTTATATAATGTTTGATTTTTATATCTGTCATTTTGTTTTTTCTTGTTATTTGCTTTCAATTTTGATTTTGTCTTTAAAGAGGTTTGGATTTAACTCTTTTAATTTTTCTTTTCAAAGACATTTTTAAACTTGCATTAATGTATCATAACCTCTTTTAAGGAAAATAAGGAATTTAACACTTTCGTCACCATTCCTTCCCATCTGATTTTTTTCATTTAATTGTGTGTTTAGAACCCTACAGTTCATTTATTCATTCGTGTTCTTTCACATTATATAGTTCATCTCTTTCAAAGAAGGAAATAAAGATTGTTGGTAATTAGTTTTATACACATTTCAAACTATCAAGCACCCTTAACTACACAGTTAATTAGTTTATACTCACTATCACTCTATTAATTTTTTTTAAATTTTAATTAATTTATTTATTTTTGGCTGCATCGGGTCTTTGTTGCTGCACGTGGGCTTTCTCTAGTTGCAGCGAGCGGGGGCTACTCTTCGTTGTGGTGCATGGGCCTCTCATTGCAGTGGCTTCTCCTGTTGTGGAGCATGGGCTCTAGGCACGCAAGCTTCAGTAGTTGTGGAGCACAGGCTCTAGAGCACAGGCTCAGTAGTTGTGGACCACGGGCTTAGTTGCTCTGTGGCACGTGGGATCTTCCCTGACCAGGGATGGAATCCATGTCCGCTGCAGTGGCAGGCAGATTCTTAACTACTGTGCCACCAGGGAAGTCCCCACTCTATTAATTCTTAAGTTCTTGCTTTTAATTTTTGGTGCCTTAAGGAAAGTTACCTTGGTAATAAATGTGCCCTTCTCATTTCGTGATACAGAGTACATGGTATCAGTGTCTTATTACTGATGCTGTTAACTTTGATAACTTGGTTAAGGTGGTGTCTGCCTGGTTTCTCCACTGTAAAGTTACTGTTTTTCCATTTCCATATTCTGTTAATTCGCAAAGCGTCACCTAGTCCAGCCCACATACAAGGGGAAGGGGAATAGGCTTCATCTCTTAAGGGAGGGATATTAAAGAATTTGAGGACACACATTAAAACTACCACAGTAATTAATAAATATTTTGGGGAAGCTGCTTTGAGACTATGCAAATATCCTACTTCTTAAGCTTTTGCCCATTAATTTTAGTATTCATTGGTGGATCCTTCCTGCATTAATTATTCCTATGGTGCGATTGCCCAATGGTGATTTATTTCCCTCATTCTATGTTTAATTGTTAGAATTCTTTGTAAGAAAGAGTTGTTCCTTCTAATTCATTTATTGGGTCATTTATATATGGACTTAAGGCTATTTATTTTATTCTTCGGGTTCCCTGTCTATAAAAAATTGATACATGATAACACAGTTGTCAGACTGAGTTTGTTCTTTAAGATCAGAAAAGCTTTATTCTAAAATTTCAGTAATCTTTTTGTTCTAGCTACTGGTTTTATTTTTGAGGAATTCCCATTATATGAAGATTGAGTCTTCTGAAGGCATTTGTTTTACAAAAGATTTTTGAAGCAAAATTTTAGAATACTGAATTATAGCCATTGGCTTCTCTTTTTGTCATTTGGGGTTGTTTGTCTTATGCTTGCCTTTCCCTTTTTTTTTTTTTTGTAGACATTAAAATACATATCAAAAACACCATGCAGGCACCAGAGTCCTGAGATTGTGAGAGAATTTCTCACAGCAGTGAAAAGCCACAAGTTAACCAAGTAAGTAAAAATAATCTTAAGTGGGAAAAGACTGACACATAATGAAAATGATAACTTATAAAAGTCATCCTCAGCAACTGTGTATTTATATTAGGTTGGGTTTTGAATTGTAATCAGTACACAGGGCGTAGGGTCATGGTATTGTATAAATTTATTGATTGATTGATTGATTGATTGCTGCTTTGGGTCTTCATTGCTGTGCGCGGGCTTCTCGTTGTGGTGGCTTCTCTTGTTGTGGAGCACGGGCTCTAGGTTCGCGGGCTGTAGAGTACAGGCTCAGTAGTTGTGGTGCACAGGCTTAGCTGCTCCGCGGCATGTGGGATATTCCTGGATCAGGGATCGAACCTGTGTCCCCTGCATTGGCAGGCGGATTCTCACTGCACCACCAGGGAAGTCCCAGGGTCATGGTACTGTAGATGAGACAACTGAGACTTAGACACTGGGATCCTTCTAGAGCCAGAAACAGAATATAGTGGGCTTTTTAATCTCAAAAATGTTTCCCAAAAATCTTCCCATAACCCCTTCCCAGCATTCAGACTAAACTGGTTGAAAAACGGGATTCACAAATTGAAGGGCTTTTTATAAAGTTGATGAATTAATTCATTTCACATTTGTGTTTGTTTGGGGCAAAAATGGCTTGATAATATTCTGTCTGCTCTTCTACTGCCCATTTACTTTCTTGGTGACTTTCTTGAATAAGTTAAGTTTGTAGGAATTAAAAACATTAAGAATTAGATCAAAAGTTTCCATGAGAAGAAAACTAGCCATAGTCTTTAGAATTGATACTAGAGCTGATAAATCCAAAAAGCTTTTGTCATTCATTGAGAATAATCAATAATTTTCTTTTGGAGGAAACATTTGGTGTTAGTTCAGGCGCACAGTTGATACACTATCAGTAAACTAAGTGCCCTTTTCCCCTTGCCTCTCTTCTCTAAATGAACTCTGAAGACAAACATCTTTCAAATGTGTGCATATGTGTGCTTGTGTGTATGTTTACAGTTTGTTTTATTTTTGTGAGAAAATACACATAACATAAAATTTACCATCTTAACCATTTTTTTAAAAATTTATTTATTTTTTTGGCTGCGTTGGGTCTTTGTTGTGGTGCGCGGGCTTCTCATTGCAGTGGCTTCTCTTGTTGCGGAGCACAGGCTCTAGGCACACGGACTTCAGTAGTTCTGGCACATGGGCTCAATAGTTGTGGCTTGCAGGCTCTAGAGCATAGGCTTAGTAGTTGTGGTACATGGGCTTAGTTGCTCTGTGGCATGTGGGATCTTCCTGGACCAGGGCTCGAACCTGTGTCTCCTGCATTGGCAGGCGGATTCTTAACCACTGCGCCACCAGGGAAGCCCTACCATCTTAACCACTTTTTTTTTTCATCTTAACCACTTTTAAGCCTTCAGTTCATCTATATTAAGTATAGTGTTCACATTGTGTGTAACCAATACCCAGAATTTTTTTTTTTTAATTTATTTGGTTGTACTGGGTCTTTGTTGCAGCAGGCAGGCTCCTTCGTTGCAGCTCACGGGCTCCTTAGTTGCGGCTTACTGGCTCCTTAGTTGTGGCTCACAGGCTCCTTAGTTGCAGCATGCGAACTCTTAGTTGAGGCACACATGTGGGATCTAGTTCCGTGAACCTGGGCCCCCTGCATTGGGAGAGTGGAGTCTTCACCACTGCGCCACCAGGGAAGTCCCCAGAACTTTTAAAATCTTACAAAACAATATGTATACCAATTACACAACTCCCCATTTCCTGCTCTCCCCAGCCCCTGACACCACCACTCTGTTTTCTGTTTCTGTGGATTTGACTATTCTATATACCTCATGTAATTAGAATCATATAGTATTTGTCTTAAAAAAAAAGTCTGAATATTATTTAATATTGTTATCTTTTTATTTTAACCATTTTTAAGTGTGTGATTCAGTGGCATTAGATATATTTAATTGTTGCACATCTCTGCCATCCATCCACAGGACAGTTTTTCATCATGCAAAACTAAAACTCTATACCCATTAAACAATGACTCCCCATATTCCGCATCCTCTAGCCCTGGTAACCACCAATTTGCTTTATGTCTCATGAATTTGGCTACTTTAAGTACCTCATATGAGAATCATACAGTATTTTTTCTTTTGTGACTGGCTTATTTCATTTATTATGTCTTCAGGGTTCATTGATATTATAGTATGTGTCAGATTTTCCTTCCTTTTGAAGTCTGCATAGTATTACATTTCATGTATATATGACATTTTGTTTATTCATTTATCAACTGATGTATACCTGGGTTGTTTCCACCTTTCGGCTGTTGCACATAATTATGCTGCTATGAACATGAATGTACAAATATCTCTTTGAGACCCAGCATTCAGTTCTTTTGATTGAGTATATACCCAGAAGCCACGTTTGCTGGATCTTATGATAATTCTATTTTTAAATTTTTGAGGAACTGCCATACTGTTTTCCATAGTGTCTGCTCCATTTACATTCCCACAAACAGTGCACAAGGGTTCTAATTTCTCCACATCCTCATCAACACTTCTTATTTTATCTTCTCCCTTTTGTTACAGTTGTCATATTTATTACATCTGTATATGTTGAAAATAGTGTTTAGCAGTGTTTTATTACTTACGTTCTATACTTCTACATATTTTAAAGAACATAAGAGGACAAAAACAGTCTTTTATATTGACCCAGAATTTTGCTATTTCTTTTGCTCTTCATTCATTCCTGTTCCATGTTTACTTTTTATCATTCAGCCTGAAGAACTTCCTCTATCGTTCTTTTAGAACAGGCCTGCTGGCTACAGTTTTCTTTCAAATGAGAATGTTATTATTTTCTTTCATTCCTGAAGGATAGTTTCACAGGGTTGAATGAACTTTTCTTTCAGCACGTTAAAGATGTTAGTTCAGTGTCTTCTGATTGCCATGGTTTCTGATGAGAAATCTGTGGTCATGCCAATATGTAATGTATTATTTTCCTCTGACTGTTTTCAGTACTTTTCTTTATGTTTGGTCTTTGAAGATTTGATTATGATATATACAT